TTCTAAAATTTTTGGACTAACTGAATAACAGTTTCTAAAAATTTGCCGTAAAGCCTCTTTCCAACAGTTGATTCAACCCCAGAACTATGAAATCTAGCAATGTGGAAAGCACTGTGCCGACCCATTTACGCAATTTGCGGAATTCAAAGCAAAAAATCAGCTTTTACGGTATACTGCGCTAGCATACGAAAAAAAAACGATTTTGCTTTTTATCGCGAGACGCAGTTTTCATAGTCTCAGTGGCATCATTTGGTAAAGAATTAAATTGAGATTTCCGGATGACAACCCTCGACATTGGCGAAATTACAAAATTTAGATAAAATTTCTCTTGTGTTCCGGGTTTCAGATTGTTAGGTTTAGACAAAATTTAGATTAGTTTTAAAACTAAAGAAGTAAGAAAGATAGCAGATCATCTATCACCATTTCCATTCACCACGAGTCGATACATTCCCCCTCAGATAATTTTTAACAAAACCTTTAAAACCATACACGTCTAAGCTCCCAATATTCCCAGCGGTAACAATGATATGAAAAAGAAGGATCTCGAAAAATACAACGTCGGCAAAAGACTAAGAAAGCAGCAGAACCTGAAGCACTGCAGGAAAGAATTGCTGCTGTACGGCGATAAAACGAGCCAAGTTCGCTCGATGTTGGTTCTGAGAAATGAAAATGAACGCTGGGTAATAGACTCGACAGAAGTGTTGAAGAGTTGTTGAAGATTCAGCACAAGTAAGTATGCATTACTAGCTGTCGTTTCGGAGCTTGTAATTTGCGCCGTCAAGCCAGCAAATCCTCCGGTAATTTTAAGCGATGAAAGGTGGAGTGGCTCTCAGCGGCGATGGCGTTGACACTGATCTGATCAAAACCGAAAAGCACGAATTTTAGGAAGATTCCTTACCTGGTTCAACTGACCGGATACTTACTGAAGCAAACAATACTTGAAAAGAGCCCAAAATCGGTTTGGTGTGAATGAATAGATCTAAAAAAAAACACTGATCGATCTGCTTACTCTCTCTACACATAAGCTTTTTCATAAGGATTGCTACCAATCAACCAAATAATCGGAAGTGTGCACCCCAAAATTAAAGTCTCTTGATTACGGTTGGTGTTGTGGGAGCAATCTGGTAAAATCAAAAATGTGGCATACTAGAATGATTATCCGGGCAGCGTTGGTATTGCTTTGAGAAGTTTTAACAACAGGAATCAACTTTTGGATGTCCTGGAAATTCGGCAGCAAACACGTTATGAAAGAATAATTGACCAACGCACGAGCTGCCCGTGCGAAGATGCGT